AGGGAGGTGCAGATATAAACTGGAATGGCCCATTGCAAATTTACCTGAAGCACTGGGTATGAATATGTAGGAACATTTTCTAATTCTTGTTTACTTGTGTCTTTTAATGTGTTCACTCATTTTATTAAATATCATGGTTTTGGATTTCGTAGTATTGATTTCTAATTTCCATTTTTGCAGTAGGTTCCTTGTGAGTTTAAAGCGTTTTGCAGCCCAGATTCAGAAACAGGCAGCAAAAGCAGGTCATCTGCATATTTATGTCTGGCAGGATGCTGCCAAACTACTCGGGCATATCACCGGCTCCTTGAGAATACCACTTGGGAGACCAAAAGGGGAATACCTTGGGAGAAAGAGGATTAATTGATGCAATTTATAAACTAAAAAGAAAATCAGATTCACATTTCTTTTATAGCATGACACAATGTTAATACTGTTGGGGCAATCATAGACTGTCGACAGTCGGTCGGTCGTACCTAACATTAATCTGTTTATTACTACCTTATACTAAAATATGTTTGAATATTTAGAGTACTAAGAAATTCTCACTTTTCGGTTAGACTTAAAATACACCACGAATATTTACTTTTGAGATATAATTTGTGTTGGTTCTTGGATATTTCATCTTCGTCGTCCTGTACTTCGTTTAGTAATCGAACTTCCTAGTTTGCATAAAAAGGGAGAGTTTCCCGATTTTTACATCGAAAATGCCTTTGCTTCATTACTTGCTGAGGGACGGCCGCTTTGGTATGTGCTCTATAACTTGGAGTACATGAACCTAAAAACGTTAGGTAATCAAACAAAAATGACGTTGTACTAAAGTCCAAAAAGTATGTTCAAGGTCTTCATTGTTTCGTAGCATTAAAACGATTTGCTCCCTCGCTTATTGTGACACCCTCAAATCAACCAATTTTCATTCCCCTCAAGAGCCAAAATGATACATGCCTCCATTTTACGTCACGACTCAAAACTCTTCTATTTTGCCTGACGTGTTTATTTGCCTTCAATTACGTTTCAGTCACTGTCGCAGCGGCATTCTGAGTCTTGCCAATAACATTTTGGTTCAAATTCATGTAGAAATGTCGAGAAAATTCTAGGAATCTTTAATTTCTTTGTCAACTATCATGCCGAATATCAAATTAGCATAACAATGCATTTGAAGGTTGTCGCCATTTTATTCGACAGCTTTCCACACCAGTGCTACACCACAGACAATTAAAACATTTAAACCTTTGTTGGGAAATTCACGTGCATTAATTTGCGTTTTTAAGTCGCGTACCACAAATTGCGTTTTAGAGTATCTCAAGTTTGTTCCAATACTGCAATCGCAAATACTGCAGTCGCCCCAGAGAAAACCAGAACATTGATTCGTTTCAAAAACATTCGTCGTGAAATTAATTCGCGTTTAAAAACGTTTTTTGACCTTTGTCACCGATTCCCCCACCAGCGTAAATTACAGAACTAATATTTTTTCCCTGGGAATCTATAATCAAGTACTGTAGAATACTTTATTTTCGCTTGGAATTTATTTTCCCTATTTTCGCTGAAGGGATGATTCCGTGAAAATAAAATCCAGCGAATATACTTTTTTCCCTATATTTCACATTAAACTCATCAAAAATCAGTGAAAATAAATTCCAAGCAAAATGCCCAAAAAGCTTTTTCAGCGAAAATTAAATCCAGTGAAAATAAAGTATTCCACAGTAATACAAATTACTTTAAACACTAAACAAAGCGTGTAAGAGAAAAATCCTAAAGCTGTGTGAATGGATTGAAACCACAGCTGAGGATAGAAAACTACAACGGCAATTTGGAATATTGATAACCATTCTTAGCAATTGCTAGATTTATTTTGTTCGAATCCATGAAATTCACAAGTTTTTCGACATTTGTTGTCAACTTCCACGCTAAAAATGATTGAAAATGTTGGTGTAGTTCTCTTGCAAAGTCCTGTTGATAATACGGACGAATATGGTTCTGTGACCCAGGTCGTGCTCTGATCAGGTGACTTTCAGCCAATCAATGATGTTGTAACAAAGCATATTTGATGCTAATTGAAGGGTCGTCGTACCATCCAATCTCCAGCGTCGATTCACATAGTTTTTTGTGCTGTGACAGGCTTCAAAATTATTCACTGAAAAACATCGGTATATTTTGACAAACAAATGGGACCTCAGTTCAAAAAGAAAAAAAACTAGGCTGAGATACATTAGAGTCCACGGCGAATCAGTTTTCTTTGTAAGTTGTGAAATAAAGTAAACCAGAGTAGGGTCGATGATTTTCAGCCTTGAAGGACTTCTGTGTGTAGCTGTGGCTCCGTAGCTCTTTGGTGCGACCAACAATCAAATTTCGTCCTAACAATTTCATTTGGGTGTCTTCTTTTTAATTTTGTTGTTATACGTCGAACATAGAGCTACGGGATCTATCACCGTTTAAAAACAGAAATCTGGCATACGGCATTTATAAAATTAAATTGCTTTTGCTATCGATTACAATGGTGTGACGTACCTTTATTATTAATTGATCACCGTTTAAAAACAGAATAAATGTAATCTCGTTCGGCGGTCATGTGATACAGTGGTGGAAGAATAAAGCACTCACTCTTCCCATAACCAGTTGGCAAAACTGCCACACAATTATTCCCCTCCAATAAAGTATTTATTACTTTTAATTGATAAGGTAGGTTTAGCCTATCTATTGTCAAATTGACTCCAGTGATAGGCTCAAAGTTTTAGAAAGCATCATGGGGACCCCTTAAGTTGGTGTCTATTTTTATACACATTTTCTATATTCACTCATGTTTATTTAAATTATTTATTGCTTTTATGAAATGTTATTCTGTTCTTTCCAAGAAAGCAATCAAACACAGTATTTATAATTAAATGATTTTT